CCAAGAAGCTGAATAGGTGGCAAAACCGATGTTGTAGAACGTTATTGCCAAACACGGAGTACCCCAGGAATTACACTCTGATCAAGACCACAACTTTGAATTGGATTCATGGAAGGAAATGATGACTTTGTTGGGAATTAGGAAAGCAAGAGCAACTGCTCTTCAACCACAGAGGCATAATTGCACCATAAATAACCACTTCTTGATGTTTTGTCTCCAATTGCCGAAATGAATTCGAGACGAGTAACAGAGAACTGAAAAAAATTTGTGAAATTTTGTTTTATTTAAGTTTGTGTTATTCGGTGCAAGATTTTCTTAATCTTGTGAGAAATGCACAATTTCCTTCTTTTTAAACGTTTCTACATTATTTGTAACAATTTGAGATGAGTGTCTCACAACTGAAGGAAGTTGATGGATATTCCTTAATTTTGGGTTTGAAGTGTGAATTATGGAAAGAATTAAAGAATTCGTGTGAAACATGTGAGGTATGCGTGATATATTCATGAGTTTCTACAATTTTCGAAATGAATTCGAGACGAGTAACAGAGAATTGGAAAAAAATTGGGTAATTCTCTTTCATTTGAGTTTGTGTTATTCGGTGAATGATTTTGTTAATCTTGTGAGAAATGCACAATTCCACTCTTGTTAAACGTTTCTACATTATTTGTAACAGTTTATAATGAGTATATCAAAACTGAAGGAAGTTGGTGGAAATTTCTTAATTTTGGGTTTGAACCGTGAAGTATGAGAAGAATTAAGGAATTCATGTGAATTATGTGAGAACTGTATGATATATTTATGAGTTTCTAGAATTTTCGAAATGAATTTGAGACGAGTAACAGAGAATTGAAGTGAAGTGAAGTGAAGTGAGAACAGTGAAGGAAGTTGTGTCGTTAATCATTCCATGAATCTGAAAGATTTTGGCGATTACTGCATGCAGTACTTGAATGGGTGGGGCAAGTTATAAACTCAGAAGATGACACAGTGTGTCGAAACAACTGTTGGCATCAAATGTTAGTGTTGTGTAAATTGTGAATATTTTTTTCACACTACCCATTCAATTGAAATGAATTTACACATATTAGAAACCGAAACTGTAGAACATTGCCTGATACCCTTACAACAATTCATAAAAGTTGTAAAAAAACATAGAAAGTTCCATTTCTCATATTTCATGATGGTCTCCTACCACGTAGTAATGGCTACATACATCAATTCATAAAAAAATAGTCTTGAGAATGAAAAACTTCTCACAGGTTTTTCAACAGAACGCCAATATGAGAAATATCATTGATATTTTTGAAAGGATATTTTTTCGGTGATGATACCTACTTGAAGTTTCAAGCGGATACATGTACTGTACTGCAGCATCATTCTGTTTGTCACAAAATCATATGCAGTTACCTGAAGAAATTGAATCGATATCAAATTCGAAGTATTCTCAAATACTTTTCTCAGTAATTTATATGCCCGCAATCTTAAGATGATTCGGTATATTTACAGTTCTCTCCAGGGTATATCCATCTCCTTCCGAGAAAATTTAATATGGAGCCTTTCGCCGACATAATTACATCGATGTTTGCTTCCACATAAAAGTAACACAACACTCGTTTTCGCTGGGTAACATTTTGACAAGCATTTTAAGGTAAAATGAACATGAATGGAACATATTTTGTTACATAATTCTGAAAAAGACCAACGAAAAGGTTTTCATTCAAAGTCCTTGTTGAAAGTTTGATGAAATATTCAGAGGCATTACTCATGTGAAACAAAAATTCAAATGAAAGTTAATTTATCCAGAGTTTAGAAAAAAAAAACGTTGTGAGGGCCGGTAAATAGATAGAATTGAAAATCATGTGCGTGAATCAGCAGATCCGCAGAACTCTGTACCATCTTGCTAATAAATAGATAAGTTGAATCATCAACTGAGTTATATCAACTTTTTCATATAGTATTTGTCGTACCATACGACTAGTGTTAGCAGGTCAATTCCATGATAAGCAGTAGATTTTATATGATAATATATTCTATAAATACATACAATTTCTTGATCTACAGTGGATTGATTCGAAATATTCCTCATTTTAATTGCATTATGGCTCAATTGTGAAATATTCCGTCTTTAGGCTCGCGGTATTATAAATAGCACTGTGATGGATATGACCGATTTTGCACTAATGACATATCAATTATCCGTATGCGCACAATCATAAGTGACATATCCACAACTGTCTTCGCAACCATTATGACAACTGTCAGTTTGTATGTGAAATTAACGTCTTTGCATGATATACACATGTGAAATAGTGCATTGGGCAACTAGTGCGGAAAATAGGATATTCCATACGAGTATGGCCAGATTATGAAGCACGAGCCATAGATGAGCGGTTCATCGTCTTGTCAAACGGGTATGAAATATCCAGTTTCCACACGAGTTGTACACTATACTTTTCCGACGACCTACATGAAAAACATACATATGTCTGATTTTATTTTTTATGACTGTATTATACTTACTCACAAATCAGTTTCACAGAAAACTAATTCAATTGCCTGAAGAAGCATATGAGAAAGACATATCACGCAGGGAGAACAAATGTCAAATCATTATTAGTTTCCAAAATTGTTGTGACGGTTGATGGTCTTGCAGTAGGGCTACTGATTGTGATTCCGAGCTAGTCCCGAACATTTCTGTTTAGAAGGTTGTTGCATGTCAAAAAATTGAGTTATTTGATTGGATATTTTCATTGTTTATGGATTGATTCAATAATATAACTCTCTACGACTTTGCTGCTTTTCCAGCCATCATGCTTTTATTATAAAATGTTCCTGTTATTGCGAAAGTTCGTGGTACTTTATATGTAGTAGTAGTAATCAGTAAATCCAAAAATATTATTTTAACAAGCTATATATGATGCTATTTGGTATTGGTCCGTCATCGTTTTTCATAATATCATTATGTTAACTTATTTCTACACTCTCATAAACATCTAGTTGTCTGTTGTTGTTAACTTGTCTAACTAATCTCAATGAACTGAAGTCTATGGAATGATTTTGTTGCAAAATATGATGGGCGACTGCTGATTTTTCAGGTCTTCCATATTTTGGGTGTGCTATATGTTCCTTGTATCTTACTTTGATAGATCTTTTTGCCTGTCCATAATATTTTGCATCGCAGTCCTTACATTCAATTTCGTAAATTCCAGACTTTTCCGAATTCCCGACTTTGTCTTTTGGACTTCTCAAAAGGCTCTGTAGTGTATGCCTTGTTTTAAAAACAACCTTCATACCTAGTTCCTTGACAATCTTTCCAAAGCTCTTCGTATATTGTTGGTATGAAACTGAGATGTATTCATTTTGGTTTTTGTCCTCTCTGAAAGTAGTGATTTCGTTTCTTTTCTAAATATATCGTATTCTAACCCTCCATATCGGCTCCTCATTACCAAAACGTCAAGAAATGGTAGTTGTCCCTTATTTTCTAACTCATACTAGAATTTTATTGATGAACATCTATTATTTAAAAGGAAACAAAGTCCTCAATATTCGATTTTTTGATATCGAATATCGCGAAAATATCATCCATATACCTTAGTCAAATCATAAGAAAATACTTTGACTTTTCCATTTTGGTTTCCATTTCGAATCTGCTCATGAACAGGTCCGCCAGGTAGGTATACAAAGGGTTTCGCATTGCCGTTCTTTTCTGTTGTTCATAAAAGCAACCTTCTGTATGCCAGGTATCAGCCATTTCAGCATTCGTAAAGTCGGTCATGGTACCAAAAAATCAATTTATGAATTCCGACTGTGAATTTGTCAATTAATAGTTGAAAATGTGACAGCGAACTTCTATTTTTATCAACAAACTTTCATAGCCTACTCGATTTAATTAACTTAATTTGCAAGCGGAGACTACTGACAAAAATTATTGAAATCAAATTTGGCTATAAAGTGATATGCATCGATATAGAAAATTGTAAAAATCTCGAAAACGATCACCTCCAGCGTTGTTGAGGAGGTGTACCTTTTTTACTTGGAAAAGGTGTGGGAATTAGGGTTTTTTCATGAAAAGTACCAAAAGTTTACTGTCAAAAAAGTTAGGGTTATTTGAAATAAATAATGACATTGAAAATATCATCCACATACCTTAGTCAAATCCTAAGAAAATACTTTGACTTTTCCATTTCGGTTTCCATTTCGAATCTGTTCATGAACAGGTCCGCCAGGTAGGAGTACAAACGGTTTCCCATGACCGTTATTTTCTGTTGTTCATAAAAGCAACCTTCTGTATGCCAGGTATCAGCCATTTCAGTATTCGTAAAGTCGGGCATGGTACCAAAAAATCAATTTATGAATTCCGAACTGTGAATTTGTCAATTAATAGTCGAATATGTGACAGCGAACTTCTATTTTTATAAACAAACTTTCATAGCCTACTCGATTCAGTTAACTTAATTTGCAAGCGGAGACTGACAAAAATTATTGAAATCAAATTTGGCTATAAAGTAATATGCATCGATATAGAAAATTGTAAAAATCTTGAAAACGATCACCTCCAGCGTTGTTGAGGAAGTGTACCTTTTTTACTTGGAAAAAGTGTGGGAATTAGGTTTTTTTCTGAAAAGTACCAAAAGTTTACTGTCAAAAAAGTTAGGCTAATTTGAAATAAATAATGACAGCGTACGCAGCGCCCTCTAGATGTTACATGAAAATTAATACGAAATTATTATTTCCCACGTCAAAAATACTCCCAGTACCAAATTTCGTGCAAATAACTTATTTTTTGCAAGAGTTATTTTTAAAAAGCGAACAAAAAAATTCAATTTCAACAGCCCGTGTCTCCGAAACGAGCATTTTTGGACACAAGTTCATATAGACTTTTTTTCTTAAAATTGTCTCAGGAATATGTCACTTGAATATTTTAACGTACTTATGTAATACCCTGTTAATGTGTACATATATAATTACGAATGTTGAATTAACTGTTTTATTTTTCATTTCAGGATGCTGTTTCGTAACGTTCTTCACCAGGAAGGCTGCGCTACAGGCCCAAAATGCTCTACACAATTTGAAGACTCTAAATGGGGTAAGTTTATTAAATTAAGGAATGAGGTATATAATGAGTCTTCAATGTGACAATTTCACCGAAACGGTTTATTACATTGGCAACGGGCTGAAACCTAGGTCATCAAAAGTTCCAACTTGTATCGTATTTTTTCAGTTGATGTAATTTATTGAAAACAATAATATATTTCTGCTGAAGAAGTAATTTGCTAAATTTGATAGATCATTTGAAAATATTTGAAAAATTCTACATTTTTTGAGGTACATTCAGATACATTCATTCACGACATATGACCATCATAAACGAAAATATGGTCCAACAAAATACTTTTTTTTCACACCAGTACTTCAACACTCTTCTTCACGCCGATTTCACCAACCAAGTTGGAGTCTACACTTTAGTGCTTTTTGAGGTTTTTGAAATATTGAAAGTGATTTGATTGTTATATGGAGGAATCACTAGTAATTTCAATGAATGGAATTGAGTTGTCAAATGATTCTCAGTTGTACTCTCTGTTGTACAAAGTTTGCTAATTTCATGCCTTTTCTTATGTTTTGTTCTACGGCTGCATTAACCAAAATTAGCCAAAACATAGATTTTTTTGAGTAATTCAATTCTTAGAGGCATTTTGCTTTTTACTTTTTCGTTAATGTATACCCATTGGAAATGTTCGCATTAATGAATGAAAAATTTATAGCTTTAATAAAATCACATTCTAAACTATGCAGATTATCCCCCCAGAAGTTTTCATGAGATACACATACGAAACACGTACTTTCCACGAGTTTCCAACATTCGTGATACAAGTGAAACAGATATCGCTCGAGGGTAATAGATGAAGAGTTGACTGAATTATGACAAAGTTGCTCATTTCTAATAGGCTTCCATAACATACTAAATATCATAAAAATAAATGCATGAGGTCGTTTAATTTCGATTAAATTGGTACAATCGACCACTCTGTAGATTTCTANTTTTTTTTAGTTTTGCTTATATGCGCACTCAGTATTTTTGACCATTTAATAAATTTTGTTGTAAGTTACATTCGTTTAATAATCACCCGTCAACTTTTTTTTCCCTAAAGCGATCTAAAAAAAAATTATTGCCATTTTTAAAAATATCCCTAGACTTTTCCGATGTGTGTATATTCACACCAACTAGGCTACCGTCCCAAATCTGCATTTTTGTAGAATAACTTTTATTACGAATGTTCATTTGATGTTGTGAAATCACAATTTCATAAAAAATCCTGAGAGTTTGAGCAATTTCATTAATTACTGTTATTTTTAATCATCTATAATAAATACCTGATAATCATTCGAATCTGTTTAAATTCTGTTCAAATTTTTTCCCGTCAACCAGCTGTCGCCCCCTACGAATGACAAACCTTCGGAATTTCAAAATTGTGTAAGCAAAGGACTACCAAGGTCTGACTTTTCAACGTGCGTTCCCAAGCACGAGTAGGAAAAAAGTAATTTTTCCTCATGAACCATTGGTGATATATGTAAAGTTTATTGATTTCTCTATTTTCCACAAGGAAAGTCGCGTTAAGAGACAGTGCTTTTGTGTGTTGAAGAAGTGATATCATCGTAAAAAAACTAAAAAAAACACGCTTTTAAAGAACATCGAACTGAAAGGTTAAAAACATTCCATTAAATAAGCTGAAAACAATAACGAAGGAAAAATACTAGTATTATTGTGAAGAAAGTGACAGGCACTTGATATACAAAAAATATGGCACAAAAGCGCCCACGCTTCTTTTAAATTTTTTTGTTCGTTTTTGTTTCAAGATTATTTAAAAAACGTATTTTTAACTTTCTAGTTCGATGTTCTTTAAAAGCGAGTTTTTTAGTTTTTTAAACTATATATTTATTTTTCATTTGTTAGTTTCGTATGCTATAAAAACGTGTTTTTAGTCTTTTCAAACTATATTTATTTTATCTGAACTTTAGGATCAATCAGCCGTTCCTATTTTGTTTAGAAAAATGACCATTGATATTTTCCGATTCCGGAGAGGAACCCTGAAAATCAGCTACCAAGCCCAAAGCAGCAAGCGCGCAAAGGAGGGTTACAAGTAAGGCAGCCGGGGCGCGTGTTGATGAAAAAATACTTTTTTCAAATGAAGAAATACATGTAAAGTGAGTTCGAATTATATCAAGGAAGTTACGTACAGCCCCATCTGCCCGTGGATAGATTAGGCAATAATGTCGATGATTCTGTCAAATATAGATCCCAAGCTTGAGAGTTACAAACAAACATACATACCTACAGCTGAAGCTAATATGAAGCGTGTAAGAAAGGATAAGTAATTTTGAAGATCTAAGCATACAAAGAGACAGACAGCGGAAAGCGACTTTGTTTTATACTATGTAGTCACGACATTATCTATTTAGGTACCGGGATTGGTTAGAGAGTAGTTTGTATATTGAACAATAATGTACTAATTTTTTTTCTTATTACTCTGAATTCTTTCAGAGTATTTCATTCCTCTTCCGAAGTTGGAGTGAACATCACAAAATGTCACTCCATCTAGTGGATGAGGTACCAACCAACTGCATATCCGTAATTTGCCCGATTTCTCTTCACGAGGAAGAAAAACTTTCTTATTAGTCAGTGGGCTATGCTTGAAGACCGGCAGTAAACAAATCTAAAGAAATGAACTTTGAACATTCAAGCCAGTCTCTAATATACCTACACAGTAGGTTTAATGGACTGACGCCTATCAGAAAACAACTACTCCCCTGGCTAATACCACGAAGGGCGTTGAATTATATCTGACAGGCGTCAGTGCAGGAATCTTCACAGAAGTTATTCCTGCATATGCTGTTGGCGATACAACTGCCGAAATAGATTTTCAATTATTGGANGCTGGACATGCTGATAGCAAGTGCATTAGGGTCTCGGGCGCCTCGCGGCAGGCCCTGCACCTTGTGTCAGGAACCTCTATACCCATCACGCGACTGCGGTAGACTAAGGTGTTGAAGACATATTATTATTATTATTATTATTATCATTATTATTATTATTATTATAAGTATCAATTTTCAATGATAACTGGTCGAGAGTCGGAACTGAAACGTTATCGCTTAAAAAAAGTTTCTCTATTATGGCAGAAGGTACTGTAATGTTTTATTTGCCGGCCGCTAATAAGTGAATGATCAGTTGATTTACTGAATGAAATTAATAATATCCTTAGCATGAATTTAACAATTTTGCTGAAGAGTAACGAATCACAAAAATACAATTGTAACTGAATACCGTTTTTGTCCTATTCTAGAAAAACGATCGTTTTCCATTCCAAACAATTCCGGTATATGCTCTCAAGCAGTCTCGTGTGCATTCTTGGTTCCGTACAAATCTGAGCTTATCCGATGTCATTCTATTCTTTTCGAATCTGGCATAGTCTCCAAATTCCTGGTAACAGAAATCCTCGGTTGTCTCCGTTGTCTGCCGTTCTCGTGAAGACGACAAAAGAAAATTAATAACCCACCTTCGTTCGGCGAAAAAAGTAATACGTTCAGCGCTATACATACAAAAGATTTACGACGTGTTATTCCGGCAGTACACCTGCATAATCCTGCTTTGCAAATAGGACGTAGTCGTCATCGTTGTCGGCGTCGCGATGAATTCGTCCGTCTGTTGAGCGTCGGTTGTGCTCTCGGCCACCTGACAGCTTCCCAACACGAGAATGAGGATGAGACACGGTGTTTGATGTTACACGTCCGTGACATCGTCCCACAACGGTGATTTAGTGATGGAGGCCTACGACGGAGACAGCTCGGCGTTCTCTAGCAGAGTAAACGGTGAATGCCTGTTTTTGCTTAATAAATTAACGAATGTCAGTTTTTCCATCTTTACACTAACTGAGTTAAGATCAAGTTAACTGGACACCGTTGGTCACTTGGTAACTTTGTTTTTACTAAATAGAGTGCTAAATTGAAAATGTATGTTCAATAATAATGATAATAATAATATCAGTAAATAAACAAATGTGCAATGGTCCATCTTAAAGGAGGACATGCGGGGACTACGGAGAGAATGTGCAGCTCGTAGATGGAAGCATCCTACACAATCTGAATGCCGGAGAGACGTATACTTACTTCGGGGTGGAACAACGCCACTCACAAGAGGTTACAACAGTGAAGAACTCTCTCCGCGGCAAGTATCAGCATAACCTTCGACAGATCTGGTAATTGGAACTGTAGGGAGACAAAANTTTTTCGAGGGGTATTGTAGATGATATTATATAAAGAAGAGAAAGTTTGGGTTGAGAACAAAATTTCTACTTTTAGAAATTACTAAAACCAAGATGAATATATATCTTAGTTCCCAACCATACGTGTATAAAATAAAATAAATTAAATGAACTAATAGCTCCAGTATGGTTGAAATGAGCCCATTCAGTCAAGACTGGTCTTCCTCGGAAACCTTTGATACACGTCGATTATTTGTTCGTTAGCAACAGAAACAGTTTCACTGATCTAAGCAACTTATTTCGACTAATTAATGATTTCAATCACTGTTGGGATATTTTTCATTGAACGTTGCCATTTTTCTTGCGTATCTGAGATATTTATCATAAATAAGAATGATTTCAGTTCTCAGTTGAAGTATATATGATGAAATTGGCCGATACTTGACAAAAATCTATAACTAACGTATTCAAAAAACTTTGTTGAAGTATAAACACCATTATTGAAAATAATTCAATGGACGCAAATTCAATGGATACATATTAACTGTTTTCGGGAATGATGAATAGAGAATGATTCATCAAAAACTCAAGAATACTTTACCTGTGCCCTCTTTTTTCAGTGGATTGTATTGAACTTGTGAAAGGAGTCAAAATAGGTAGAATGACCAAATTAGTTATTGACGTTCATTTTTTTATCTTTTGATGACTCTTTAACTAACTTGTCATTCGTGACTACCATATCGCAGGATGTTATTGATGTCCCAACCGTCAATAACGTCCTTCGTTATTCACTCCTGATCCCAATTGAAAAGGACGGCATTCTCTA